GCGCCGGGCGGCCCTGCAGGGCGCGGATTCGAGGCCCGGCCCCAGCGTGCGAGGGGCCCTGATTCCTCGGGCCGGGCGCTGGCGCGGGAGGACAGTCCCCGCGGACGTCAGGCCCCGGCACCGATCGGGCTCGACCTCCGACCGGCCGTCCGGATCGGGGTGGGCGGGAGGCCGGGAGGGGCCCTCGTGCGAGTCGTTCGCGGGAACTGGGTCCCGACCCGGCCCTGGAAGCAGCGCCTGCGGAAACTGCAGCTCGAGGGGCTCTGCCCGAGGACCTTCCCAAATGCTGGCGTCCCGCGGGAGGGCAGAGGACACCGAGCGCGTGCACAGCCCTCCCGCCCTGCCCGCCTTCTTGGTGGTTTTCAGACGTGCAGCGTCGCCCACGAAGCCCGCGCGAGGGGTCTTCTCACCAGCCACGGGTGACCGGGGAAGTGCGCGCAGCTGGATCAGGAGATGATTCCACTCAGCGTCGGGGGTCAGGCACACACTGCATTTCCTTTTTGGGGCGTCAGGGACTGCCTCCGTGTTGCCCTGGGGCTTGGCAGAGACCCTGCTAGATCCCTGTCGGTGGCGGCCCTCACTTTGTCCAACTGGGAATGTGCTGCTTCTGTGTGGTGCTTTTTTTTTTTTTGAATTGGAGTCTCACCCTGTTGTCCAAGCTGGAGCGCAGTGGCATGCTCACAGCCACCGCAGCCTGGACCTGCTGGGCCCAGGCGATCCTTCTGTCTCAGCCTTCCGAGTAGCTGGAATTACAGGCATGCGCCATCATGCCTGGGTAATTTTTTGACTTAATGTAGAGACGAGGTCTCAATCTAGTTGCCTGGGCTGGTCTCGAACCCCCCGGGCTGAGGCAATCCACTTGCTTCTGCCTCCCAAAGTGCTGGGATCACAGGCTGAGCCACCCTGCCCGACCTCTGGTGCCTTTATAACATGTGTTTCTCTCCCTCTGTTCCTGCCTGTCTCTTGCAGCCCTGAAGCTGGATTTGGAGGAGAAGCTTTTTGGACAGCACCTGGCCACAGAAGTGATTCTCAAGGCGCTGACTGGTTTCAGGAACAACAAAAGTCCCAAGAAACCGCTGACCCTCTCCTTACATGGCTGGGCTGGCACAGGCAAGAATTTTGTCAGCCAGATGGTGGCTGAAAATCTTCACCCCAAGGGCCTGAAGAGTAACTTTGTCCACCTGTTTGTGTCGACTCTGCACTTCCCTCATGAACAGAAGATAAAACTGTACCAGGCAAGAGAACCCACTGCTATCTCGTCCACAGGCCTCTCCAGCTGGTCCGGGAGACCTGCTCACTAACTCTGGCTTCTGCTTCTCTTTTCTTTGCATTGCAATCACCCCAGCCTCCATGAGTTAAGGTACACTTAGTCTCCGGTGGCTACACTGATCTCCTATGACTTCTTTCTTAGTGGGTTCCAAAATAATCCAGTGGGGTCGGTGTGTCCTGTCCATTAAAAGATGGAGCCTAGGCCGGGCACAGTGGTTCGCACCTGTAATCCCAGCACTTTGGGAGGCCGAGATGAGAGGATTGCCTGAGCCCACGGGTTGGAGACCTACCTGGGCAACTTGGCGAGACCTCATCTCTACAGTAAATCAAAAAATTGGCCAGGCACGGTGGCACGTGCCTGTAGTTCCAGCTACTTGGAAGGCCGAGGCAGAAGGATCGTCTGAGCTCAGCAGGTTGAGGCTGCGGTGGCTGTAAGCGTGCCCCTGCACTCCAACCTGGGTGACAGAGTGAGACTCCAATTCAAAAAAAAGATGAAGCCGGCTGGGCTCGGTGGCTCAGCCTGTAATCCCGCACCTTTGGGAGGCTGAGGTGAGTGGATTGCCTGAGCCCATGGGTTTGAGACCCGCCTGGGCAACTTGGCGAGACCTCATCTCTACAATAAATCAAAAAAATTAGCTGGGCATGGTAGTGCATGCTTGTAGTTCCAGCTACTTGGAAGGCTGAGGCGGAAGGATCTCCAGAGCCCAGTAGGTTGAGACTGCGGTGGCCAGGAGCGGCCACTGCACTCCAGTCTGGGTGACAGTAAGACTCCAACTCAAAAAAAAAAAAAAGAAAAGATGAAGCCTAGAGAGGCAGAGTGACTTCCTCTGCCTCTGCATTTCACACTGTGGCCTGGAGGAATTTTTTCTCCTAAACAGCATTGTTTCCTTTGTTCCACATCCCATCCTTCAAGTCTTTGGTGTTGCTTTCTTCAAAGAAAGCCTCAGAGAACTGAACCATGAGACCGTTTCTCCTTTGAGATATTCTTTACACGTTTATTTTACACTGAATTGTCTAGAAGGGTTGATTCTTATTTAAGTGAAGGGCGTCCTTTGTCAGGGTTAATATTCCTGCTGTCAGGTGGGGACTGAAAAGAAACAGAAACTTAAAGAAACAAGGAAGTGGAAGTGGGTGTTTGGTTCACTGTAAGACTAGAACGGGTGCCAAAAGTAAGGAAGGAACAATTGCTGTCTTTTCACATTCTTTTATAAGTCTCTAAACATGTAGTCGTAGAGATAGATGAAGCTGTGTTTGGAGGAGGTTCATGGTCACAGCCTTTCACCCCAGAAAGGCTTGTTGCTTGAAAAAATTAGAGTTGTTTCTCATGAAATGTCACCTGGATCAGCTCCTTTGTTCCTTGTACCAGTACAGGGCTTTGGTGTTGGGCACTGTGCAGGTCTTAATCTAGTTCCTTATGCCTCGATACATCTGGTAATAGTCACTGGAGAATGTCATCCGTAGTGAGTGATAAACATCCACGGACCTTGTGCCTCTTCTACCTTAAAAAAGTTGCATCTGCTAGGCATGTAAGCCTAACACTTTGGGAGGCCAAGGTAGGAGGATTGTTTGAGCCCAGGAGTTTGAGACCAGTCTGGGTCACATAGCAAGACCTCGTCTCTACAAATAATCAGAAAGTTAGACGAGCATAATGGCATTCACCTGTAGTCCCAGCTGCTCGGGAGGCTTAGGTGGGCGGATTGCCTGAGCCTAGCAGGTTGAGGCTATAGTAAGCCGTGATCGTGCTGCTGCACTCCAGGCTGGGTGACAGAGACCGTGACTCAGAAAAAAGGTCACATTTGGCATGTCACTTGAGTTAGGATAAACCTCTGCATTTTAGCATGCATCTCTCTACCAATTTGCACATTTGTGGGTAAAGGTTTTAGAAGAACTCTCCCCAGGCAACGGAGGTGGGGTGTGGTTTCTAGGAGCTCTTGGTTGCACCCCAGAGCTCTGACCTCTCGTCCTCAGTGAGGGCAGCTTCTCCTCCGCCCTCCTTGGTGCGCCCTTTCAGCCTCTGTCCTGTTTCTTGGTACGATCGGTCTAGGACCAGCTGCAGAAGTGGATTCGCGGCAACGTGAGTGCCTGTGCAAGCTCGGTCTTCATATTTGACGAGATGGATAAGCTGCACCCTGGGATCATCGATGCCATCAAGCCGTTTCTAGACTACTACGAGCAGGTCGACAGAGTGTCTTACCGCAAAGCCATCTTCATCTTCCTCAGGTCAGCCAGGGCAGTTTTACTGGGCACACAGCCCTGCAGTCTCCCAGTGCTGGCAGGAGGTCCTGGAGACCACCGGCCTGTAGTTTACCAGGGACAAAAGTGTCAGCCTGGCAGAAGTCACCCTCCCACTTCCTTACTTTTCGTTTTCCAATCTCAGCATGGCACAAAACATGGGCAGGGAAACTGAGCTAAGGAAATCTCCACTGCTAAGGGCGATTTCGTCCACTGTGTGTGTTGTTTCTGAGGGCTAGAAAAATCCACAGTATTAACCCAGCGTTCTGAAGGAACAGATCTCAAGTTCCTCGAGGGCCGACACTTTTTTGTCTAGTAGCAATCCTTTTTTTTTGAGTTGGAGTCTCACTCTGTCGCCCAGACTGGAGTGCAGTAGCCGCTCCTGGCA